TTTTCAACAAATTAACAATGTTTATTATCAACTTTCGGATAACGTTGAAGTTAAAAAAAAAACATATGCAATTTCATTTTATTTATTTTTTATTACGCGACTATTAATGAAAACGTAATTTTACGATTTTTAACGTCTATAATTTCGTTATGAATTGTACATATTCATTTTGAAACAAAATTTCGACATGATTGAATTTTGTTCGCATACTATGTGGATATAAACTATTTTCTCAACATTTCTCAACGATTTTTTTTTCAAGGTTCAAGTTGTACTTTTGTGGTGGAACTCCATTACCAAAGATTAAATGTCAGTAAAGCATTTAGTTCCATTTGTTAAATTATTAAACATTATTATTAAACAAAATAAACAGTTGGAACTAAAGGCTTTATTGACATTCAACCATTGGTAAGATTTTTCAAACTTACAAGGGGGCGACCAGGTTGGTGGGTAACGTACTTAGACCATTTTTTTTGGGGGGGGGGGATTCTACATTCCAAAATATTGGACTCGTCTCCTCCATTTATTGTGAATAGGCCCTGGTTTCGCCAAAAAAATTTGAAAGTCGAAATTTTCTTTTTATAATTTCGCCGTTCTACTTGCTCAAATGAACTATGTGAATAAATCATTTCACAGCCTTTTTTATGTAATTTGCTATAAAAATATAGTAAAAAACTATCAAGGTTTATCAATAACCAAAAACCAAATATTATTTCAAGTAAACTAGGGCATACATTTTTTTTGTGAGAGTAATATGAAAACGTTATTTAGGGCTTAAAAAAATATTATTTTTCGTGTATTAATTTCATTGTTGGTTAACATAAAAACAAAATTGTACAACGAAGCAGAATATTCTAATTTCGTACGATTTGAAAAGATAAATTAACAAAATAATGATTTTTTTTGTATATTTTAATAAACATTCTGTAAGCAAAGTGGGTCAGAAAATGGTCAAAATTTGGTGGTGATTGGCGATTCTAGCGTTATAAAACCCTTATAACCGACTTCCGCGGAAATCTGTGTAAATTAATTTTTTGAAACATAATTTTGACGACCTCATTTTTCCCAAAAGATAGTGGATCGATTTTCATCGTTGATAACTCGGTTTAAAGAAATTGTTATGCGCATTTTACAATTGCATCAAATATTAAAATCGGACTATAATTTCTATTTAAAAAAAAGAGGTTAATTTCTGGCAAATAATTATGTTATTTTGTAGAAATCGTTTATATATTTTGCAACGTGCAAACGCCGTTAAAAAGTTTACGTTCCTCTCCTTTAGAATAGTCTGTTTGCGTTAAAATCATTTTAGCCGTTTTGAATTATCACCGTTTCAATCAGATATTCCGATAACGATTTTCCAAAAATCGGAAAAATTTCAGTGAGAAAAACTGATAAATTTAAATTCAAACAAAAACTTATATTTAGGGGTCTCTAGAAGTGCTAAACGAAATTTCATATTAGTCTCACGAAAAAATGTATGCCCTAGTTTACTTGAAAAATATTTGGTTTTTGGTTATTGATAAACTTTGATAGCTTTTACTACATTTTTACTGCAATCTACAAAAAAATGCTGTAAAATGGTATATTTTCATAGTTGATTTGAGCGAGTAGAACAGCGAAATAAAAATGAAAAAAGAAAATTTCAACGTTCACTTTTTTTTTTTGTAGAAACCAGGGCCTAGTGCCCTAGAGGTTCATGTCCGATATTAAGTAGTGTAGAATCACCAAAAAATTTTGGTTCAAATCCGAGACCCACCAACCTTGTCGTCCCCTTGTTAATTTTATTGAAGAACGTCGGTACGTTCGAAAATTTCGCATCTTCCTTGATCACGTAACCGTCTGTGGCTGTTTTTTGCCGCACCTAAGCCATATTTGACTCTTTGCAGCTTCTTGGCTTGCATTCCTATAAAGTTTTTTGGTTTATATATGGAAGCTGTGTTGTTTCTTTTGTCAATTAGACGGTCGCTTCTCACTACTCCTGGCGAGCTCTCAGTCACAGTATGTCACTGTGCCAAGGATGGGCCTCGCGGAGGCAGCTCACTCGGGATTTTAGGAGGCTTCATGTTTCTTTCCTTCTTTCTCTCAATCAGAGACATCACACTGCAAAGGCACTGACATCACGTAACCAGAGCACTGGCTGGCACACAGACACTTCCTTTTGGTTAGCTTACGAAGTTTCTGTTTTAAGTGTTATATGTCTCGACAAATTTTTTAACTTAATATTCTGGATCTTCGTATGGACTGGATAAAGAAATAAGTTCATTTGATACTGCCTTTTACATTGATAAAATTAAGTTTTTAATAATTTCCCCTGATGACCTTAAAATAGGTCTAAAGCAACAATTGAATTTGTTTCTTCATCAGCACCATACCATGATCCAGAATATTCGTGAATGCTGAAACGTTGCTAGATGTGTTCCACCTGGTTGTAGGGTGCAATTCCTTAGTTCCATATAGGAAGCGTATAAAAAAAAGGGTTGTTTTGTACTGGGTACTTTGTGTCCCTAGCATTCGATGAGAGTAATGTATTTATTGGCGTGAATGTGTTGTGTAGTATGAGAGGGCCAATGCCGGGATACTGAGTCCCCATCGACCCTCAATTAGTTTAGTTGTATAATAGGTGTAAAACGTGGAATATCGAGTACTCCACCACCCTAACTGGCAGAATGGTATGTAAATAAGAAAGAGTGTGAGAGTGAGAGTGTGTATGGGTTTGGAATTAAGACCTGATTGTGTTGGAAGCTGAAATGACTTAGCTATTGGCAGCCCATGAAGCCCAACCTTGGCGAGTAGACGCCAGATGGATAAGATCGATCTTACTCCAGACTATAAACACCTAGGATGGGATTCCAGGTTAATGTAATAAAAAGTATGTAGAAAGTGTTTGATTTTTAAGAATTTTTACGCCTTGGTGTCAGGTTCTAATAACGTGGGCCACGCTCACTAAAGCACCCAAGCATATTCTTGGTTCTCTAGTGCAAAAAAAAAATGTGTCAACACTGAAAACTGATCATGGCGTGATTTTATGTGAACCAAGGTATTAAATACTTTACAAAGAGGCTTTCGAGGATTTTGGATATACGGGAATAATACCACCCATGTTTATAAGAGGATATCTGGGAGGTTTGTGACCTTCAGGAATGACAATGAAGGCGTAATAGAAAAAATGTTAGCATCTTCTGAGTAAGGTCATTATGGATAGGTATACCAACTTTACCATTATTCGAGCATGAGGTGCTTCAGTTATTAATAGATAGGTGTTAATTTCTAAAACAAGAATCATAATTACTGGTCAGTCCTCATCATAAACTTACACTTAGAACGATCTTATAAAGCATACATAAAATCAAAAATAGAGGTTTACTCTGGAAATTTTAGGAATGTATTGTACGTTTTTATGGCCATTCTCCATGTCTCCAGGGGTTTATTTTTTCTACATGAGTTTATATTCCAAAAGTACAATATTCTAAAGAAAGATAAGATGATAAAGAATTCTATTTAGTAGGATGGAACAACAAAAATTTCTATGACGACAAATTTAGATTGTGATCTTGTTATGACTAGCGTTACATAAATAATTATACTCTAAACGAACTGTGCGAAAATTCAGGTCTGTAATTAGCTTTAACATGTTTGGATTAAGATGTAAAAAGCCGAGCTGTTAAATTTGTTTTTTTTTCTGTTATTTTCTATGATTCATTACCTTACACCGCTATTTTTGTGTTTCTATTGAATTCTTATCGATGCCCAAAAGAAAGAAAGGTAATCTAATTTTGTAAAAGCTTAGCTGAAGCGATAAAGATGGAATTTCTGGATTACATAAGGCGTTTTTGCATCCGGAACGGAATTGTTTATTTATATACAAATTAGATTAAGTCTTTTTAAGAGAGAAAAGAATAAACGAACCAACAAAATTTATAAAAATTTAAATGAAAAGTAATACTGTGAATTTTCGAGGCTGAAGAACTGTCGAACGTCTTTATAATGAAAACAGGACGACCTGGATAATCAGTCACTATCAAACTTACAATTAACTGGTCTACATCTAAAAAAAGTATTACTATTGATGAAAACCTAGAAAATATTCAAAGATTTTCTATTTATTTTGGCTTTATTTCTTTATCTTGCCCTTGTACAAGTACCAGACGAACACCATACGAAACGGGGACAACACTGCGAAATATTAAAATATGAATGTCAGTTAAATATATATTATATTTTCAATGAAGTAAAGCCCGCCGTACTTGGTTGCCACCTAGAGTGAAGCTAATTTCCTGTAAATAAAGTTTTTGAATTTTAGTTGAGTTGCTTTTCTTCTAATTCTTCCAATTTATCAAACTTTGCCGTTTAAGAAAGTATCAATGGTGCGTTTGTGTCCGTGCCTTACCCTGCTTAAAACCCTGACGGATCTCAAGGATTTCGAGAAGAAATATACATAAGCTCATTCGTAACATCATTTTAGATTTACCGAAAATTTCTCTTTAGGATCATTTTATATATGCGAGAATAAAAATTATTCGAACCCTTCTTTTATGTATTTTACAACACCATTAAAACGTGGAATTATAAAAAAAATTATAAACCAATTAGCGTGATTTCTATAGTCTTAGGTATCATAAATCGGTTTACTTAACGGAAAAATGTGAAATGATACCGAAATTAGTTGTCGTGTAAATTTAACGATTTAGGGTTGTTTAATATTTTGGGGTACATTCAGCTTTAAGGAAATTTCCCCATTGTTTGAAGGAGGTTGTAATCTGATGGAGCAAGGTCAGTACTAAAGGTTTGATGCAGTAAAGCAAATTTTCTTGGTCTTTTTCCAATCATTTTGTAGCCTGTTTTAGCTGCAGCCTATCGCCCTGATCAGTGGTAGGTTTGTGTCAGAGCCTCGCCCTGCTTATATCCCTGGCCAGCAATCAACGCGTAGTTTTGGCACATGTATATTTGTTTTAAATCAAATAATATCGCAATAATATTTGATTCGTCATTTTCAATGTATGTCATATAAATAAAAGGTGGTATTATATGATTCGTTATAGGATCAAAACTACCTATAACCTTTGATGTCAGAGAGGGGAATTAATTCCATAAACAACATCAGTGTCTTTATTGTTTCAAACGCAAAATAGTCCATTCAGGTTAGCATAAAATTGGGTATATAACTCTTTAACTGCCTGAGAGTCCAAAGTAAATAAATAAGATGAAATTCGTTATAGATCACAGCTTTTGTTGCGTAAAAAATATGAACTGAAGTTTTGTGTCTAGAAATAGTCCGGGCTCGCCGTGGGCTCTTCATTTGACAAGCTGTAGCCGGTTGAAGATGAACTCCGTTCACTTACCGGCCCGCGGTGCCTCGCTTTTAAACGTCCCGTGCTGTTCCTGCATCAACCTTGGATTCCTACAGACGACGCCGGGTATTTTGAAGATATCACAATTGGTAAAGTCGTTCTTTTTGGCATGTTTAGTTGATTTGAAAGTTTTTAAAACAGGTATTCGTATTTTTTCCTAATATGTAGTTTTACGAGATCATCCTAGTCTGACTATAATCGAAAAATTATCAACAAAAATGAATACTATAATACAATTAAAATAAACAGCGAAAAATGTGTTAAATTTACTGACCGAAACAGTGATAAAACTTAAACTAACTTAAAACTTTACCATTTGAAAGTTTTCAAGGTTCAATTAATTCAGAAGATATTTGACGCAACGCTACCAACATTTAAAAGTTTGTGATGCACTTTCTAACCCTTTCTGAGCTTCATCAGGTGTATCTCAAGGTTCTATCATCGACCCTCTACTTTTTTTAAATTTTCATAAACGATACTGCCCATTCTCTCACGCTTACTTTTTCAAACGATATCAAAATTGCTCACTCTACAATATCGGCAGTCTTTTTCTTCAATGAACTAAACACATAAAGTCCCAAATTACTTTTTTGATAAAAGAAACATCTATAGATTACAACTATCGATTGACAATCTGTAGACCACTTAACAACAATAAAAATCTTAGGAATACTAGTTAGTAGTATCTGATGATATCATGGGTACCAGGATACAAAGGAATTTTGGGTAACCAGAATGCAGACAAATTAGCCAGAGGAAGATCTGCAAGACTATATACTGAACCTATAATTATGACAAAAATAGACACAGGATTCTTCTAGAGAAGATCCAAAAAAGACAAAGGGACTCTAGATGTACCAGGCCCATCAAACTTATCAAAAAAGAACCCTCACCAAAACTGTCAAACTCATTGCTACGGTTAGAGAGGACAAAACGCAGAGGAAACTACATACAGTCATTGACATCTGAAAAAACACCTACACGGGTATTTTCAATTCCTAATTTGTAGTTTATGCAAGAAGGTGGAAGAAACAGCCACACGTTTCTTCAAATGCCAGGCAACCACTCAACGGAGACATTACCTGGGATACAAAGAAAATCCAGGGAAAGAAATTGTGATGATAATCAATGAGCAAATAATTCTTGAGATAAGGACACTAGTTTTTTCTCTTTTCATCCAAAGCTCTTGACATATTTTGATTGATTTATGTAAGCTCAACAATGCACATATATACATGATTTAGCTTATGACTTGTCACGGCTTGCTGTATTCTGCGAGTGTTTGCAGTTAACCTCAGTCTCTTACCTGCCCAGCCACCAAAGTTGAGTTCCAGGGGCTATCGATAAACTAGATCACTTTACCCCCAAACATACAGCTTTTAAACTTGGATCTGTCCCAAAGCATTTTGATCAACTTTAGCCAACTTTCCTTCTCTATTGATCTTTGTTCCATCCAAAGGATAATCTTGACATATTTAATTGATTACTTAATACACATATATAAAGATTGACCTTATGACTTGCCTATATTGTGAGTTTGGAAGTCCGGAGTCAGACCTTGGTCTTATCCGTCCTGCCGCCAAAACAGGGGGCTGCTAACACAACAGCTAGGTTATTTTAACCTAAACAATTGGTGTATTCAATATTCCTCCATCACCGTTAACACATACTATGCAACTAATCTAATTGAGGGTTAGTGCTCCATCAGCACACAACACATAAATAATACACTACAACTCTTAGCACACAAAACAAGTAAACACCACATTCTTGAAAATAAATCATTAATATTCAGTAAATTAAAACTAAATTATTAAAGAATAAATAAAAAATTAAGTCCATGTTTTTATATTGGATTTGTAGAGTATAATATGCATTTATATATGAGCTCTATGCAATATTGTTTAAAGTACCATAAATTAGATAAGATACCATAAATATGTAGTCTATTTTAACAAAAAAAGTCCCAACATTCGAAGGCTTTTACTATTTTGCCAATGCTGAAATTCATTGCCCTCATTTTCTTATAAATGCAACTGATTTCTCAAATTTGACTCAACTGTGTAATTTATTTCTAGTTGATGGGCGGTATCTGTCAGACAATGATGATAAACTTTGGAACAGGGCAATCGACTTTATTAGGCATGGCGTATATTTCACTCCTAACGACTGTCTCAGCCTCACTTTATACTACGGTGCTGTTACTGGTGTGCTACTTGCTTTCACGCCCTTCTTTCAGCCTGGTGCGCTCTTCCCTTTTTGTAAGTATAGTGGTTTTTTTTTCCAAGTTTAAGATTTATATAAACGTTTCGGTTGTAACAGGAAACTTTGTTCAATGCAAGTGCAGCTTTATCGTATCTGACCTCTTCGGCATACCTCGCAACGGTTGTCAATTTAGTGCTCTACCCAATATATGTGATCACACTTGGATTTGTGGCTTATCCTGCCATGATTGGAGCATATGTAAGAACAAGTTGGCAAAAACTTTACAAATTTGTTTGTCATTAATGTATATATTGCTTTCAGTCTTTAGGTTTTGCTCTGAGTTTCATTCATGGACTTGATGCTTATCAATGTTACAAACAGTACAAAGGATATGGTTAAATAATATATATATATATTATAATTTATGATAAACATCATAATCTTTTTTTTTAAGAAAAATATAATTATTTGAAATTAATGGTGATATTACTTTAAGTTGTTATATAATAAGGAGTAAACATTTTTTTTTTAAATAAAATTTGTTATACATATTTTTTTGTTTTATTAAACTCTTTTGTGCCAAATGTATCTATAGATATATATCAATATATACAACATATACTCAAGATTATCCAAGTTGATAAAATAGCAATTTAGCAGGCAAAAAAGCTACAGCTAGTGTGACTAGTTTATGAACGAAAGGAAACTAGATATTCATATTTTTATTACATGCTGAAATGTTTCAGCAGTGAAATTGCTGCTTATTGCTGGAAAAGGACGCATGTGCCTTGAGTAGTCATTTTTAAAAGAATGAATTTTTATAGCCGCTAGTAAAAAAGGCCACCTTTGCCATAAATGAGTGTAATTTGAAAAATTCATGCATCAGGTGAGAGTTTTCTTTTAGATGTTTCGTTAAATGAGGAGAAAGTTGCCAAGGTGGAACAAAGATCCATTCTTAGAAGAAGAGGTTCAGAAATATGAAAGTCATAAAGCATGAAAGAAACACAAATCGGTTTTGAGAGTTTTGGGTGTTGTTGTAAAGTGAAGGTCCTTCGGGAACAAGGGGGAGTTGGGTGCAGAGGAGTTGAGAGGATTTTGACAAAATATTTCAGGTATAAAAGATTATGTCAGTGTATTAGGGGTAACTCCTCTGTTTTGACACTTCTGACAGAAACAAAAGGCACCATTGGCTGTATATAATAGTGTGCAGTTATAGATAAATGTATGGGAACTATAAATAGACACACTAGGTAAATAGATAGATAGATAGAGATGAGAGAAAGAGTGAGAGGGAGAGGAGAGGGAGAGGGAGGGGGATGAGGGAGAGAGGGTGAGAGGGAGAGAGGAAGAGAGGGAGAGAGGGAGNAGAGAGAGAGAGAGAGAGAGAGAGAGAGAGAGAGAGAGAGAGAGAGAGAGAGAGAAATTTGTATTATTCACTAATGTAAGCAGTGCAGAAGGTTGTGCTTAATTCTTGAATTAACCTATTCTTATTAAAATTTTGAATAGATTTGACATTTGACCACTTTCAGTGATTGATCAGGGTATAAGCTGGTTGAGGTAAAAACTCATTGAAGGTGGTGTAACCTCAAAATGTGTTTCTCATCAAAACTAGTACAAATGTCTGTATGTCAAAAATGTAAGTACCAAACGAGTTCCTTTACAGTGTACCTGTGTTAGTACAAGTTCTTGAGCAAAGAGAAAATACAATTATTTTATTAACACGATCTAAAGTCTAAGCCCTTTACTGCAGTTACTGCTAGATTATGCACCAATATATCCAGAAAGCTAGAATATAGACAATGATAGAAAATGAACAGACTAGATCCAGATTAAACAGTCATATAGTGAAGGGTGAGCACGTTCACCATGCTACAGTTTAACATTATTTGGTAACAAAAGCTGGGTTGAAGGATGTACTAACAAAAGCCTATCTTTTACTAAAACTCTGACTCGATTTGGCATTTCCCTGTTAAGGATTTAGTCAAGGATATAAACAAGTTGAGGCCCAAATTCATTGAAGTTGTAACCACAATACTAGAACAGATTTATGTTAGAAAGAATGTAAACCCCACCAAATAAGTTACATATGGTATTTCTATGTTTAAATTTTTTTTTTAAAGCGACAAGAATATCAATTATTGTAAAATTATGCATACATATGTGTCAAGCAGTTACAAAGTATCATTGAAATATTTGAAATTGTTGATAAAAGCAAAAGAAGTTTTGAACAATTAATTAAGCACTGTTCATGTTTATAATAAACTGCTTTGGAAAATCAATACATACATATTCTATAGAATTAAAGTACTTACATGCACACAGCAAACCAACACCTACACAAAAAATTAATGTTTGTAGTTACTTTAATTATATAGATAAGATATATTTATTATTTAAATAAATGTCATTAATTACCACTTTTCTTCATTTCTTGATTGATGTTTTCTGAATTTCAGAAGCCTCTGGAGCCTTGAAAAATTAATCTGACTGACCTTGAAATGCATGGGCAGAAATGAAACTAACGAGGAAGGCTGAGATTTATTTCTTATAACAACCCTGAAATCCGATTAAAATTTAATTAATTATTTATTATTAATTTTTATCATTTTGTGTACCATTACAACGTAGGTTTTGGTTTATTAAGTCAACAGAAGGTTCAGATGTTTTTATATTTTTTTGTAATATTTGTGCCATATTCATGTTATCAATTAATAATTATATATTATTATATTAATTATTTAATTTATAATATTTTTGTTAACAGTTATTCAGAAAGAGGTGCTGTTAGGTCGATTACCAGCTGTTCACCTGAGTTATAACACTTTCGTTACCTTCCTTGCGGTCACAAGGTTTGACTTTCCTCGTTGGTGATTCGTTTTTCCCATTTGGGTTATTGGTGACCGTTTTTTGTTGAAAAATAAGGTAAGTTTTTAATTTTCCGAAAAGTCAAAAATAATAAATCTTTCTATAAGTGATACTGAATAAAAAAAGAAGACATAAGCAATTATCTTCTTACCAGAACAATGGAAAAAACATCTGTTAAGTGTCATAACTTAAACGGTCTTTGAATTAAATAAATAATTTTCCTTGTTGTGCTCTAGTTTTTGTTTTATAATCAATATCGGACGTTTTATAAGGAGTTGTCACAGAAATCATCAACATCTGGTTGTTGCAGTAGTGTTTCTTTGATTTTATGTATCTTTCTGGTTTGGACAAGTGTCCCTTTTTCTTGATTATGTTCTAAAACTTGACAAAATACTTTTTTCCCCTGCGATTTTAATATAATCTAAAGTATATCCTTTTGCTGTGTCTGAAAGACAGTGATGTTAACAATATTAGAACTGATTTATAAATTTTCATTTTTTCCACCATTCTTCGATTATTTATGACACAATAAAAACAATTACCTGTGATATATTATCGTAAATTATGCTGGGTGATAAACTTTTGGTTTCTTGTCTTACAGATCTAACAACCAAAAATTACCAATATAGCAAGGATAGGCAGACCTGATTGATATGACCAAGCTAAAAATTTCTATTGAGTTTCCTCAAACAACTAACATAAATTTAATATCAATGACAACCAATTATGTAGAATCGACCTGCATTTTATAATTGTGAGTATTTTTTAAATTAAAAACAACCTGGCTGATTTATTCAATTGAATTCTAAGCCTTACAGGCATTATTCCATGATAAATTATAATTAATAAAGTATAGCATAGGCCAAGGCCTTAAATCAATTTTAATAAATGAGCATGTTGTTTTTGTTAAAATTAAACTACCACACATTTCTCCAAATCAATATAAATAGAGAAAAAAGGGTTTTTATTATTCACATGGGGATTTATTACCCCCAATAAATTAAAAACATTAAATGTTGTATTTTGGAGAGAAGCTAGGGGCAATATGTTAATTTGATTAAGTTAAATATGTATAATAATCCTGAATTTATACACATGATATAATTTTATACAAAATTTAAATGAAGTTTTTACTTTGAAAGTGTGAAATTATATAAATTACCATAATAACTGTAGTTCAAACGTTTTGTTGTTGTTATTGGATAACTGGCAGTTTGATCAACCTATAAATACTTAATAAATAGAAGAAAAAGGGTTTTTATTCTTGTTTGAAAGGTTCGGAAGGAGGATCAATCAATGACATAGGAATAAACGATAGAACAGTAAACGTTTTGTCTTGTATTGATCATTTCTTTAAAAACCAAATACTTCAAACTGTCATTTTTAGTTGCATAAAACTATATGTGTACAATATATAAAAATGATTTACATTATTCTGTTCTTCTTTTTTATATTTGTACAGTTGAATCGAATCATTTGTTTCGAAGACATTATTACTCTTAATACTCACAATCAGTAAGAAGGCTTATTGCATCATCATTATCATTTTTATTATTATTACACTTTAATTAAATCAATATATGTGCTGTCATGAATGGTTAGGCTATTATCTACACTTGTTCAAACATTTTTTTGGGTGTAATGAACATAAAAATTGGCATGGATTAAATTATGTAGGTAGTTTGCTGTAATACCTTCTAAACAATCCACAACGTATTTATTCTTTAGAAATAATATGCAATTTATTCTTTTTAATTTGTTATAAATAGTTTGTAAAAATTAATGTCAGTTATCATGAGTGATTAATAATACCTACTACACAAACCATAACATATTTCTCCTTTGTATATTGATTATATAAATTAATGCCACTTATCATGGATGAATGAATGAGTAAGTGCGAGAGTATATGAGTGAGAAATAGAGGGAGGGAGGGAGAGAGAGAGAGAGAGAGAGAGAGAGAGAGAGAGAGAGAGAGGAGGGGGGGGAGAGAGAGAGAGGGGGAGAGAGAGTGAGGGAGGGAGAGGGAGAGGGAGAGGGAGAGAGAGAGAGAGAGAGAGAGTGAGTTGAGTGAGGGTCATTGAGTTGTGTTAAGTTAAGGGAGAAAAATTAATATGCAATTTAATAAACCTTATCAAAGATTTTATATCTATTTTTCTACTATAATTTATTGGCGGAGGTCAGATTTGTGCTATTACCTACAAGGGTTCTAAAGTTGTGTAAAGTTTCCTGTGAATCGGTAAAGTCGTATCAAAATCAACTTCATTTTTGTAATTTTCGACAAAAATCGAAGGCCACGGGAGATATTTTATTTTTTTATTTTCAAAAAAAATTATATTCAGCGTTTTTTAGGGGGTGCAGAAAACGAATATCAACTTCCTTTCTTGCTAAACAAATATTTTAACCTCCTTGCTATAAAGTACGAAAATAATTAAACGGGGGTCAGGCAAATTAGAGTTTATATTGTTACACAATGCATAACTATTTTATTATTATTTTTAACTATACATTATTATTTTTATATGTATGTTAAAAAAGAATATATATTAAAAAATTAACATTTTTACGAATTCCCTAGTTTTCGTGGTCCACTTGAACAATTAATATCATTCAATTAATTAAGGTTTTTAGTTGAGATAAAAA